AATGGGATGCAGTTCAGGATCTTCCATCTCCAGTAGCTGGGCTTTAGGGGCTCAATCCGCTGCGAGACCGGCGCAAGAGAGAGGCTGGAAGAGGGTCAGTAAAAAAAACAACAACCGAACAGCTCTAAGGCAGCTGCAGAGGGCGCGGGACGAGTTGTTTTACCGTCTTCACCCTGGCCATTCTTAATGCCCCGAACGCAGAGCACCTAACCCCCAGCCGGCCTGAGCTCCCGCGCGGGAGCGGAGCGGGGGCCCAACTGGCTCCGGCCACAGGGCGAGGGCTGGGACTTGGAAACGCCCGTTACGCTGCGTGCCCCGCATACACACTCCCGCAGGCAGCCCAGGGGAAAGGCGCGGGGGCGGGCGGGATTAACAAACAGGCGCTCGGCCACCGTTACTGCCCCTTCCCGCAGCCAGGACGGGGCAGCGCTGGCCTGAGCGGGGCGCGGGCTGGCTGCGGTGAGAGGCCGATAGTCCCCCGCTCTCCGCGGCGCCTGGAGCCGGCTGGAGGGGCGGGGGTAGCGGTGCCCTCCGCCCCGGTGCTGGGAACCAGTAGCCGCCGGCCGCGCTAGCAGGAGCCGTCGGGAGGAAGCGGTTGAAGGAGCCGCCTGAGCAGCGCTCGCTTCTTTCCCGCCTCTTTCCCCGCGTGGGGCCGGGTCATGGTGGCAGCAGGGCCGCTGTGGGCGGGCTTCTCCATGCCGCTGCTGCTGGGGTCCCTCCTGCCCAGCGCGGGCCGTGATGGGACTACAGGGCTTCCCCGCTACCAGGTGACGGTGCCTCGGCGGCTGGCGCCTCCTGCGGGCCGGGAGGCCGAGGGGCAGGTGTCCTACCAGCTGCAGATGGGTGGGAGGCTTCTGGTTGCTCACTTGCAGCAGAAGGGCCTGTTCCTGGCCGGCCATCTCCCTGTGTTTACCTACGAGCGGGGTGAGCTGGTGACGAGCCAGCCCTTCATCCCAAGCCACTGCTACTATGAGGGCTACGTGGAGGGTGCCCCAGAGTCACTGGTGGTGCTCAGCACCTGCTCTGGGGGGCTGCGGGGACTGCTGCGCCTCGAGGGGACGAGCTACGGGATCGAGCCCATCAAGGCCTCCCCCACCTGCCAGCACCTCCTCTATCGGCTGGGGGAAGTGGAGGGTACGCCTGCCTCATGTGGGGTGACCACTGAGGAGCTGCAACACCAAGGAACCAAGATCCAGGATGCGGGGCCCACTGTGGCAGCCAGACATCACAGATGGACACATGCCACATATATTGAGTTCTGTGTGGTGGTGGAGAAAGAGCAGTTCATCCTTTATAGAAGGAACGAAAGCCTCCTGACCAACCAGGTCCTCGAAGTGATCAATATGGTGGACTCCTTTTATCGTGCTCTGGGGGCTCATGTCATCCTGGTTGGACTAGAGATCTGGACAGAAAACAACCTCATCACATTACCCGATACTATAGGCAATGCTCTTACTGAATTTAACCGTTGGAGGAATGACGTGCTCTATCGTCGCCTGCAGCATGATGCTGGACAGCTATTTATGGCTAAAATATACAGAGGGCGTGCTGGGAGGGCATATGTAGGAGGCATCTGCCTTGTGACCGATGCAGCATCCATTGTCACGTGGCGTTTTGCTTCTGTGCCATTTTTTTCAGTCACTGTTGCACATGAGTTGGGTCATAATCTTGGCATGTATCATGATTATGATAAATGTCATTGTAACAGAACTGTTGGCTGCATCATGGCTGCTGTGCATGTAACTACCGATCAGTTCAGTGACTGCAGTCGTGAAGTATATTTTAATCTCCTCCGTGATGGCGCTGGATTCTGCCTATATAACATCCCAGCGCCCAGCAAAATATTTAGGAGGAAGCACTGTGGTAACAAGGTTGTGGAAGGGGAAGAGGAATGTGATTGTGGCTCAGAACTGGAATGCAAAAAAGACTTGTGTTGTCAGTCCACGTGCAAACTGAAACCAGGTATGGTTTGTGCTTTTGGAAAGTGCTGTAAAAAGTGTCAAATACTTGCTGAAGGAAAACTATGCAGAGCAGCTGTTGATGAGTGTGACCTTCCTGAGTATTGCAATGGGACTTCAAAGTGGTGCCAAGATGATGTGTATGTACAAGATGGAACTCCATGCAGTGACATGGGCTACTGTTATCGGGGAAGCTGCCATAACCACAATAAACAGTGTGCAGATATCTTTGGAATAGGGGCACAAAAAGCCCCTCTAAGTTGCTTCAGTAACCTGAACACGCGAGGTGACCGGTTTGGCAATTGTGGTGGTGGTGGTGAAACTGGAGCAAATTACAAAAAATGTAAAATCAGTGATGTCTTGTGTGGAAGGATTCAGTGTAAAAATGTAAAAAAAATACCTCCTTTGAAGGAACATAGTACTGTTGTACAAACGCCCATGGGTCATATCTGGTGTTGGGGTACAGACCATCATGCTGGGACTGATGTAATTGATACTGGGGCAGTGAAAGATGGCACAATTTGTGGTAATGGGAAAATTTGCCTTAGTAGGACATGTGCAAGTGTGTTGCGTTTGAATTTAGATTGTGACGCTAAGAAAAAATGCAACAGTAGGGGAGTATGCACCAATACTAAAAATTGCCACTGTAACTATGGGTGGGCCCCTCCAGACTGTAAATTCCGAGGATATGGAGGAAGCATTGACAGTGGACCTGTTCCAGTGTCTAAGCCTATGGTAAGTATATGGAGCAGCAGTTTGGGTAATGTTATCTGGATAATAATTGGCATCAGTTTTGTTCCTGCCATTGTTGCAATACTTAGAAAAACTGTATGGATGAAAGCGTTTAGAAGGCTAAATGTCACACAGAGAAAACAAACTGCTGCTGCTTCTGCTGGTGATAGACAGAGCCACTATAAGAATGGCAGCATTAGTTCAAAAAAGTAAAAGACACAACATTTTTTCTAGAAGGGCAACAGATGTTTTGCAGGTCAAAGGATCAGAGTTTGTTACCAAAGCAGTCATTGAAAGAATCTGCAGCTGAGTCTATGCTGAGGTAGCGATGGCTTTGCATTGCCTGATCCCAAATATAATGTAACAATGTACTATAGTTAAAGAATCAAAAATGTAGCATTTTGGGTGTGAGAGAGTGTCTCTCTTTTTTTAAAAAACATGTAAATAAAAAATTGGTTTTTATTTTTTTTAAATAGGAAAGTAATGGAAAACATTTTGCATTCCTCAGAAAGAGATCTTGTGAGTGATGATATTTCCCCAAATGCCCAGCCATTTGGTCATTGTATAAGTTGATGCTGTAGTAATATTCTACAATGTAGTGTTTTATAGAGCTACAGTGAAGACATATTAGAGCTGCACACAGAAAATGGGCAGTTTCTCTTCCGGCCAGCTTCCTAGTTGTATTGTGCACTTAGTGGAGTTTGGGTCATCCTTCATCTCGGAGATGCTGATGTAATTTGGGGGTCTCTGGGATTTTGTAGTGCCATAGACTCCATTGTAAATCATTAATTCTCTTTGGAAAGTTGTAGAATGTACTGGGGCCTAAAAGAGAAAACAGGATTCCTTTAAGAAGGGGGAATAGAGCTGCTGAAAACCAACTAATGAAAATACCTCTGTGCCAATTATCAGCAACCAAGCCTGCCTTCTTCCACCCTGATCCCACTCTATGACATGTGCCCCAAAACTAGCAGCATATCCTTCCTCTACTCTGGTGACGTGTAACTTCCAGTTGTTGTGAATGATTTAAAATTACAATATTTTCAATAAATAGTTTAAATCAGCTTTTTCTTGTACTCACATTGATGCATAGACATATTAAAACCAGATTTTAAATGACAAATTACTCAGAAAATTGTATCTGCATTAGGGCTGTCGATTAATTGCAGTTAACTCACGTGATTAACTCAAAAAAATAAACTGTGATGAAAAAAAATTAATCACGCTGTTAAACAATAGAATACCAATTGAAATTTATTAAATATTTTTGGATGTTTTTCTACATTTTCAAATATATTGATTTCTATTAGCACAGAATACAAAGTATACAGTGCTCACTTTATATTATTTTTGATAAACAAAAGAAATAGTATTTTTCAATTCACCTCATACAAGTACTGTAGTGCAATCTCTATCGTGAAAGTGTAACTGACAAATGTAGATTTTTTTCTGTTACATAACTGCACTCAAAAACAAAACAATTTAAAACTTGAGAGCCTAGAAGTCCACTCAGTCCTACTTCTTGTTCAACCAATCGCTAAGACAAACAAGTTTGTTTACATTTAAGGGAGCTACTGCTGTCTGCTTCTTATTTACAATGTCACCTGAAAGTGAGAACAGGTGTTTGCATGGCACTTTTGTAGCCGACGTTGCAAGGTATGCTAAACAGTCGTATGCCCCTTCCTGCTTCAACCACCATTCTGGAGGATATGCTTCCATGCTGATGATGCTCGTTAAAAAAATAATACATTAATTAAGTTTGTGACTGAACTCCTTGGGGGAGAATTTTATGTCACCTGTTCTGTTTTACCTGCATTCTGCCATATATTTCATGTTATAGCAGTCTCGGATGATGACCCAGCACATGCTCGTTTTAAGAACACTTTCACAGAAGATTTGACAAAACGCAAAGAAGGTATCAAGTGAGATTTCTAAAAATAGCTACGGCACTCGACTCAAGGTTTAAGAATCTGAAGTGCCTTCCAAAATCTGAGAGGGATGAAGTGTGGAGCATGCTTTCAGAAATCTTAAAGGAACAACACTCCGATGCGGAAACTACAGAACCCGAACCATCAAAAAAGAAAATCAACTTTCTGCTGATGGCATCTGACTCTCATGATGAAAATGAACATGTGTCGGTCCGCTCTGCGTTGGATTGTTATCGAGCAGAAACCATCATCAGCACGGACATACATCCTCTGGAATGGCGATTGAACCATGAAGGGGCATATGAATCTTTAGCGCATCTGGCATGTAAATATCTTGCAATGCTGGTTACAACAGTGTCATGCAAACGCCTGTTCTCGTTTTCAGGTGACATTGTAAACAAAAAGCAGGCAGCATTATCTCCTGCAAATGTAACCAAACTTGTTTGTCTGAGCGATTGGCTGAACAAGAAGTAGGACTGAGTGGACCTGTAGACTCTAAAGTTTTACATTGTTTTTTTTTTGAATGCAGTTATTTTTTTGCACATAAGTCTACATTTGTAAGTTCAACTTTCATGATAAAGAGATTGCACTACAGTACTTGTATTAGGTGAATTAAAATATACTATTTCTTTTATTTTTTTAAAGTGCAAATATTTGTAATAAAAATAAATATAAAGTGGATACTGTACACTTGGTATGCTGTGTTGTAATTGAAATCAATATATTTGAAAATGTAGAAAACATCAAAATATTTAAATATTATTCTATTATTGTTTAACAGTGAGATTAATCATGATTAATTTTTTAATTGCACAATTGTGATTAATATGTTTATATTTGCATGGCTGCCCACAGCTCCCACTGAAATTATGAAAGATAACTTGTTTACCTATGTTTTACTCAAAAATGCCTTCTACCTCTTATTCTATAGAAAATGTGCCCAGTCTGCTTGGGGAACTAGCAGGTGTTTACAGCCTTTAAATACTTGTAGATGGTTATTATGTCACCCTTGGTCGGACTCCGCATGCGGTGCCAAGGATCCGTGACCCGTTGACCTATCCCGTGGAGGCCTGGATAGTGAGGCAGAGGGAGCCTCCGAAGACCCTGCTACCGAGCGAGTCCCTGGCTGGGCATAGGTGGAGGGCCAGGGTGGTCCACTGGTGCCATTGACTATGCTGCGGCACCAGCTGGTCAGGTTGGCCGGGCTGAGATGTAGCGGGCCTCGTGTGGGTCGAGGTCGGGGTTACCAACGACCTATCGGTACCATGCGAACGGTACTATTGATGGTGCCGAGAATGATGTCTACCACGGGACGGGGACTGGGACTCCGACGTCGAGGAACGGTGCCGTCTCGAGCTACTACTTCTCAAGACACTACAACGCCGAGATCCGCGCCGGCGCAGAGATGGCGCTCCCTGCCGGGAGTCATGGGTGCAGTGCCTCGAGGAGAAAGAGCTGGAGCCCCCCGTTTGCACCCCAAGAGGCCTGGGGCCCCAGCCTGCTCTGTTCCCCTGGCTCCCAAGCTTGGGGGGAGGAGGGAGAGGAGAGGGGGGAACCGCTCCCCCAGCACTTGCTGGCGGTGCGGCTGAGAGCCAGGGGAGTGGACCAGGTTGGGGCCGGGTCGCTCCACTTACCATGCGGTGAGTGCAGGGTCGGGCCTGGCTACAGTCTTCAGGGGAGTGGGGGCGGGGCCCCCCCGCCGCCGCCCCCCCCCCCCCCGCCGCCCCCCCCCCCCCCCCCCCCTGGGGGGCCCCCCCCTGCGGCAGCTCCCCACCTGCAGCGCCCCCCTGCGGCAGCTCCCCACCCCAGCTCACCTCCGCTCCACCTTCTCCCCTGAGCACGCCGGCGCCGCTCCACTTCTCCTGCCTCCCAGGCTTGCTGCGCCAATCAGCTGTTTGGCGCGGCAAGCCTGGGAGGGGAGGAGAATTAGAGCGGGGGCAGCGTGCTCAGGGGAGAAGGCAGAGCGGAGGTGAGCTGGGGCGGGGAGTGGTTCCCCTGCACACACACCCCCGTTACTTGCTGTGGGCAGCCCTCCCCGTGCCCCCCTGCCCCAGCTCACCTCCACTCCCCCGCCTCCCCTAAGCGCACTTTTTGGCGCCCCCAACCACTTGGCGCCCTAGGCAGCCGCCTAGTGGTTGCACCGGCCCTGCCGATGTGGGTCTAGCCTCTCCCCCTGCTTTCTCTCGGTGCCGCTGAGGATGGAGACTTTCTCTGTTTCTTAGACGGAGAGCGGTGCCAGGCACGGGAAGATGCCGGGGGATCACTGCGCACCGAAGACGAGGTGCCCTGTGCCAAATCCGCTTGGTGCACCGGGGTTGGGGCCAGTGCTAACTCCATGAGAAGGGCCCGAAGTCTAATGTCTCTTTTTTAGTTCTAGGTTTAAAGGACCTTCAGATCTTACAGTGGTCACTAATATGGGATTCACCCAAGCAGCGGAGACAGTCAGCGTGCGGGTCACTTCTGGGCATTGAACGCCTGCAAGAGTTGCACGATTTAAACCTGGGGCCTGCCCCGGCCCAAATGCTAACTAACTGAACTGAAACTTGTTGAACTAACGGGTACCACTAACAATGAACAAGTTCTGGTACGAGCTGCAGCGAAGCTGGAGCAGTAGTTGCGATGCACCCTCACTGGCGGGAAAAAGGAACTGAGGGTGGGGGGAGCACGCGGCTCCCCTTATAGCGCGCTATAGAGGGGCCACTCCAGGGGTTGTAGCAGCGCTCCCCCTACGGGTACTGCTAGGGGAAAAATTTCCGGCACGGGTGCACGTGGTGAGCATGCACACCTACTGTGGCATACACATGAGCAAGCACTCAAAGAAGAACTGTCTAGTGTAGGGTTTCTTCCTATGAAGCAGCTGCTACTGGCCCCTGTCAGAGACCTGGTACTGGACTAGATGGGCCACTGATTTCTTCTGCTATGGCAACAGTTATGTTTCTAAATGAACCCTCAAATTAGCTTGCATTAAGAGAATGTTTTTTCAAAAATCTGTTAATAGTATGGTAATGGCAGTGTATAGGGAATAAGAAGAGGCGATACTCAGGGTGTCAAGAAAGGAGTGAATGGAGGAAGTGAGTGTGGGGCGGGGGTCAATGAGACTGCGTATCAGGGCAGTGGGGTCACAGATGGCAGGGGGTTAAGTGAATGTCTGAAGGTAGTGGAGTCATGCAGGGGGTCAATGACATTGAATATAAAGGCAGTGGGGATAACACTGGAAAGTAAGCCTGGAGAGTAGTAGGGGGTAACCACTGCTAATTTTGGAAGTAGTCAGGGTCTTGGAGGGGTTCA